GGAAAGTGAATCAAAAGGCAGAGGAAAATTCTCTCTGTCTCTCCTTCTCTCTGTAAATCTGACTTTCAAATAAAAATAAAAATCTCAAAAAAAATAATAATAAATAATTAAAAAACAAGGCAGAACAGCAGCGTCCTCTGCTGGTGCACCCTCAAAGCCCCCCCCCTCCGCGCGCGTGCACACACACACACACACACAGCAAACACACACACAAATACACACACACACACACCCCGGCAAGAACAGGGACAGACTGAAGCCTGGAGCCCAGATCTTAATCTGAAACCGGATGCAGGTGACCCAAGCGGCAACCAAATCCTGGACCAACTCCACATTTTAATGGTAGCAGTGTTGTTTAATTCATTCAAAAATTCAATGTAATCCAAATTAGCATCTCAACAGAATATTCACTCATAGGAGTTCAGAGGTGGATTCTAAAAGTTCATAGAGAAATGTAAACAGTTTGGGGGAGTCCACAGAAGCCTGGACTGGCCTAGGTAAGTACACAGATGAACAGATGATGAAATAGCCAGAAGCACACAGCATCTGTAAAACAAATCTTGAGTTTCCCAAAACTGCTGCGATGGGTGACCATGTAAAAGGTGCTTGAAGGATCACCAGTGCCACCAGCGGAGGTGCAAAGATGCCTGGGATGAAGACAACTTCCTCTGCCCCATGCTGTCAGGGAGGATGGGCCCAAACTTCAGAAAGCCAGGGCCCCACACGCTGCCTCATGAAGCAAGGGACTCTGGGATCCCAGCACAGAATGTGTTTGTCAAAAACAGCCCATAATGTCACATTCAGAAGCACAAGACTCTAACTGTCGCCCCAGGACACCTGCTGGTCGCGTTGCCTCAGAACAACACCTTCCCAAGACAGACCCTTCTCTGCATTGGAAACCACAGTCCTAGTAGACAATGAATGAGGAGTCACTGTGAGCAATGATCTAGTCAGTAATGCCCTTTTCTGAGGCAGGGCCTGTCTCAGACAGTCAGCTCATCACCCTCACAGGACTCCGTCAGCTCTGCATCGGGCTGCATTTTGCTGCAGGCAGCCTGGCTTCATCAACGAGAGGGTTGGCTCCTAACCCTAACCCTACATGTGACATGCTGGGTCTGCCCTGGTTCCCCTTGTTTCAGCTGTGATGTGAGGTACTGGATCTGGCCCAGAACCCCTTGTGTCCTATACATGATGTGAGGTGCTGCGTCTGGCCCAGGTCCCCTTCTGTCAGCTGTAATGTGACGTGCTAGATCTGCCCTGGTTCCCCTCTTTTCAGCTGTGATGTGTGGTGCTGGGTCTGGCCTGGGTCCCCTCACTCATGCCACAGCCACCAAGTCGGACACAGCAAGGAGCCTACAGCTCCACAGAGGGGCCTCTCACTGTGCAGAGTGTAGGAAGGGCTGTGTCCCAAGGCCACCTAACAGGAGCAGAGCCAGGAGCAGCCACCAGGTGTGTCCAGTGCTCAGGGCCTCTCTGCTGTGCTCACTAAGGACCCCTGGCAGTTCATTGATGCCTGTGGATCCAGGAAAATACACAACAGAGACCACGCACTGGGCAATGCTGGCTACCTCCCCATCAGCCCTCACATGGACATGCAGATCTCAGTGTCCCAGCCCTGGGGAGGACCTGCAGGCCCATGCCAAACTGGAGGAGTGCGACCAAGGTGTCTGTGAGGGCATCCATGACAGCCAGTGCCACAGCTGCCCGGCAGGCACATGTCTTGTGTGGCAGACAGTGTCCCTCCTGGGCCACAGGACAAGGGCCCACCCCAGGAAGCAAGATGAGCACAACTTAGGAACTACACAGACATCCAGGGGACCAACCAGTTTGCATGAGGACCACAGCTGACAGGGGTGAAGGGAGGAGGGGCTTGGAGCCGTAGCAGACACGGGATCTGGGCATCTGGCCAGTCCTGTGGTCAGAAGAACACACTCCCTGTGTCCAGCAAGTGCTGACCATGGAGCCAGAGCTGGGTTCCCCCTCTTGTCCCTGGCTGGGAGGGGCCAAGAATGGGACTTGGGCAGGTGGTGGGTACAGGGCTGGAAACTTTGGGTGAATGGGTTAGAGGCCTGGAGCACCCTAAGAGCCACAGGAAAGGGCAGTGACCAGCCTAGTGGAGAGTGGAGGGTCCCCACATTGGATGTTGACTGGATGAAGTGAGGGGCCTGGCTGGTGTAGATGCTTTCACAGACAAGGGACCAAGACCTTGAGTCAAGACGAGGGTCAGGAGAGCAGCAGAGTTCAGCCCCATGGAGATCTGCTAGGGAGTGGGCAGCAGGATCCAGGACCACGTCACTCACTCACAGGGGCCTGCGAGGCTGAGGAAGAGCTGGAAGCGTCTCACAGACATGAACCTTGGATCATCTGAGGAGACTCTATGGAGAAGAGGGTGAGGCTAGCAGTCTCACCAGGAGTCTCGTGGATGTCAAGTCCCGGGGCTCAGGGCAGCGTCCTGTGAGAAGGATCTGATTTAGCAGTGTCTCTGTAAGTAGACAGTCATGATCCTGCGAAGAGCAGTCAAGGCAGCCGAGCCACACTGTTACTTGGCACAGCAGCCAAACATTTGAACATAGCACTGAGGACATAGCCTCCATGAATGGCAGCCAAGGGTACTCAGGCCCTGAGCTTAGGAGCTACAAAGATTCAACAAGAAACCTCTCATCACACGCCAGACACAGTCCCCAAAGCTCCACAAGGCAGGCAGATCCTCACAAAGAACAGTCCCTTGCCTACTCCATGGGCAGCACACCAGAGTCACCCCCACACATTCCAGCATCTCACAAACTTCACAGGTCAGCAACTTGCACAAGTCAGAACTTCACATGTCAGCCCCTCACACACCAACACCTCACATATCAACACCTCACAAAACAGCACCTCACACACAATCACCTCACATACCAGCACCTCACACACAATCACCTCACATACCAGCACCTCACACACAATCACCTCACATACCAGCACCTCACACACCAACACCTCACAGGACAGCACCTTACACACCAACACCTCACATACCAACACCTCAGAGGAAAGCGCCTCACACAGCAACACCTCACAGGACAGCCCTTCACACTTACCAACATCTCACATACCAACACCTCACAGGACAGCCCTCACTCACCAACACCTCACATAACAGCACCTCATACACCACCCCCTCACAGGACAGCCCCTCACACACCAACACATCACACAACAACACCTCACAAACCAGCACCTCACACACAATCACCTCACATGACAGCCCCTTACACACCAACACCTCACATAACAGCACCTCAAACACCAACTCCTCACATACCAACACCTCACACACCAGCACCTCACATTCCAGCACCTCAGAGGAAAGCGCCTCACACAGCAACACCTCACAGGACAGCCCTTCACACACAATCACCTCACATACCAGCACCTCACAGGACAGCACCTCACATTCCAACACCTCAGAGGAAAGCGCCTCACACAGCAACACCTCACAGGACAGCCCTTCACACTTACCAACACTTCACATACCAACACCTCACAGGACAGCCCTCACACACCAACACCTCACAGGACAACACCTCATATACCAATACCTCACAGGACAGCACCTCACACACCAACTCCTCACATACCAGCACCTCACAGGACAGCCCCTCACACACCAACACCTCACACACCAACACCTCACATACCAGCACCTCACACACCAGCACTGCACAGGACAGCACTTCACACAGCAACACATCACAGTGTAGCACCTCACATACCAATACATCTTTGCGATTTCTGAATCAACACCCTTAAAATTCTCAAAGGATTTTTAAAAATAAGGATGGAAGGTTCTGGGCAATACACAAGAGACAGAATGTTTGCCAGAGTCTGGGTCCAAGTAGGTATGTGCACAAAGAATATTCCAGTTTTGTGCTCCTACAGCTCCCTGCTCATGCTCTCAGTCATAGCTGCAGACTCAGAAGCCCCCGTCCACCTGACCTGGCTGCACGTGTTCCCTGGGAAGGCCAGCAGGAACACAGCAGCCTCAGACACTGCTCACTTCCCCAACTCCCCTAAGCTGTCACTGTGTCCCCACGGAAAGGCCAAAACCGTTCCTTGTCAATGGTCCCAGAGAAGCCTGCTCATGTCTACCATGCTCATTCTGGACAACACTCAAGCCAAAGATGGTAACTGAAGACAGAAACCATGCACTCACCCCTGTGGAAGGGGCAAAATCACTCTTCTGAATGCGTCAACTTCCACGTGGGCCTCATGCTCCAAGGGAAGGAAGCCACCAACCCACAGATCCTAAAAGGAACCACCTGTCTGAGTTGCCTGGACGGTGAGAGTCAGCGCTCAACCTGGGCTCCACCAGCACAGCCCACTGGACAGTGACCACAGCAAGCCACCCCACAGAAGGGCTACAGACCTGGCTCCAACTCTCTGTACCTCCCTGACCCTGTCGGGAGGGCAGAGAGTCCCAGGCAGCACTGCTGTCACTCTGGATATAGGCACCTGGGCTGGAGTGACCTAGATGGAGGTCAAGCCATGCAAGCCACTGTGGCAGCAACTGGGAAGATTTGTCTCTCCCTGGGGCTGGAAGTGATTGTTCTCCATCTTGTATCCACAGATAGAACAGAAACCAGAGTCAGGGTCACTGAGTCCCCAGGGCCAGCCTGTCTGGTGATTGGAAGGAGGCAGGGAGCCACCCAGGGTCAGCCAGACAGCAAGAGTGGCACACAGTGCGAAACTCTAACCAGGAGGCCCAGAGTCTTGCAGGTCTAACCCTAACCCAACCACGATCCTGAGGGTCAGCAGGGCAGTTGTCAAGGAGGGGGGCCTTCGGAAAAGGTGAGCTTGTTTCTCATTACCTAGCCCCCTTAGACAAGACCTGGGCCACAGTGCTCACTGAGAATAGGCAAGTAGTCTTTGCAGAGACCTATGGCTGTCTCCCCTGGTAAAAGGCAGACTCCCAAGAGCATGTGGGTGGGGATTTTGTAGGGGCATGTGGCACTGTGGGATATTATAGTAGTTGTAGTAGTTATGGCTACCACAGTGGCACAGCCCCAGTCCAAAAGTCCCTCGCCGCATGCACGTGTTCTCAGGGCTGAGGGGCCCAGCACCCAGGAAGCAAGACCTGGCGGGGTGCATCTCCTAGTGAACCCCACCCTGCCTCTGCCCACAGAGCTTCCATAGGGCACAGTCAGAGGCAAGGGCAGGCCCAGGGCCATGTCTGCACTGTGTGGTGCGAACAGGCTGAGGCCATAGGGTAGAGCCGGGCCCAAGAAGGACACTGAGACGATGGGAGGGGAGCCCAGCACAGACGCAGGAGGCATGCTCTGGTGCCTCCATCCCTCCTCCTTTGCAGTGGGGCCCTCGTGGCTGCTAGTGATGGAGTTAAAGACAGTTCCCAAGGGTTGGTGCAGAATGCTGAGTGGAAACCACAGAACAGGAAGCCTGTGGGAGGACGGCTGGCCCACAAACAGGAAGCCAGGGCCTGCTGTGGGCCAGGGGTCCCATGAACTCGGCAGCACTGCTCAAGAATGCGTGGATGCGCCCCAGCACTCACATCCTTCAGTGTATATGCGCAGGAGACCACTTAGAGCAGGGGAGGTCAGCTTCGACAGGCAGTTTGTAGGCTCCCAGTCCCACCGCAGGAGGTGGGGAGCAGCAGCAGAAGGGTCAAGAACTTCTCTGCTCCCTTAGGCCTCTTCTCATTGTGCCAGTGCGACCTAATCAAAACTGAACACTCCCCAAAGCCCCACCTTGGGAGGTTCTGCCCTGATCCTCTAATGCTGGCGCAAGACAGGCTCCCATGCTAGCATGAGTTTGGATTTGGGGCACCCCCAAACTGGACGCGAATCAGACGTCATCCTGAGGCAAAACGGGGTACTGCAGCATGACAGCTTCACATGTGGCAGAGCAGACGACAGAACAGGACAGGGAATGTCATGGGGACGTAGCTTTCACCAGTAAGCCGAGTTGCTGAAGCGTAAAACAAGTGCAAAAACAGACTTTCCATACGACTCCCTCCAGATGGATTCTTGTTAAGGAATGCATTTCTCGTGGAAAGCTAGCAGGTCGACCAGAAAGTGGTGACCGGAGGTCAGGGGCTCTGGTCTTGGCAGCGAAGGAAGAGGTGGGATTTTATGAAGGGCTAACCCACTGTGTAGTTATGGTAGCTACCACAGTGCTGCACCCAGCACAAAAATCCTCCAGGACTCCCAGGTCATGGGCTCCAGCTGAGCACCCTGAAGGGCTGGGAGGGACCAAGGTCCGTGGGTCTTTGCACCTTCAACCAAGCTCCAACCCTCAACCTAGGGACAGCCCTCTCCCAACCGCATCCCACCCAGGGGCCCAGGCAGTACAGTCCAGATTGTCAGGGCCTCTGTCACTGTGCCTATGGGAACTGGTTCTCACCGCCCCAGTCAAAACAAGTTAAAACAAGCTGCCCCATCAGGGGCTGAGCCCACTCCTTCCCACCAGGTCCTCAGCAGTTCCAGGGGCCAGGCAGCTACCAATCTCCCACCCCTGCCAGCATCTACTCCTCCTGTCCCACACCCCTCACATACCCAGAAGCCCAGCCCCCGACACAGAGGGGCTGTGCTCCCCTGGGTGGCCGCTCTCTGGGCCCCGACATGTCCAAGGCCGGGAGGAATGAAGAAGGGCTGTGCTGAGTTCCTGTTCCTAGGTCCCAGGCCAGCCTCTACCGGAGCCCTGGAACTGCACAAGGAGGGTGCTCACCTGTGTGCTCTCATTTCTGCTCTCTTGTCTGCTCCCAATGGGAAAGCACTGGAGAGAGACTGGGCTGTCATTAGCACATAGCAGGAGCATGGCAGGATTTGGGCAAACCTACCTTACAGTCAACTGTGAGATATTTCGTGTGGGACACACACCAGCTCACACTCTTGTCTGTGTGGTGTATAACACACCAATTCACATTTGACTCTGTAAGATGTGGGACACATGACAGGTCACACTCACTTTTGACTGCGTGATATGTGACACACATACCAGCTCATACTCGGCTCTGTGTGTGGTATGTGACACATACATCAGCTTGTGCTTAGCTCTGTGAGGTGTGTGACAAGCTTGGTCACTATGTGATGTTGGAGACACACATCAGATGACCCACGGCCTCTTCTACCCAACCTGCTCTGGGCCCTGGCCACACATACCATCTGGCCCATTCTGTGTCCCCTGGACCTGCAGGTGCAGGGAGCAGCTGGGGCAGTTGTGGCAACTGTGAGAGGGTAGAAACCCAGCCAAGGAAGTCCCAGGCACTCATCCTCACCTGAATCCACAGCCCCCATCCTCCAGCCTCAGGGCTTTGGAGGGAGGGATACGAGGGGCATTCTGCTGGGACACTCTCACAGTGGAACACCTCAAGTGGCCCAGGCAAGACTGCCCTGGGACTGAACACAGCACCCTGGCAGCCTGGAGAACTCCAGCCAGACAGGCCAGAATAGCTGCCACTCCAATGGGTACATTTACACCCAACGCCATAAGCTCCTAAAGATGCTGCCTGCACAGGGAATGGAAGCTTCTGGAGTTCAGGAGAAGAGCTCCAGACTGAGGGGTCTCTGTATTGGTGTTTGTCCCCAAACAACTCACCCTGGGAAAGATCCAACTCCAGAGGCCTCAGGGATCTGGGAGCAGTGCCTGCCGTTGGGGTCCACAGCACAGAAGGAGCAGGCCCCTCCCCACACACCCCTGCCACAGGCGACCCTCCTGTGAAAACCAGGCCCCACAGCGCTGTGCAGGGCTGCACTGTGGCAGGCTACAGTAGAATTTGTGCTGGCTTGAAACACCGTGGTTACTATGCTGGTAGCTGGGGCACACAGTGCCTCAGGCCACACCTAAAACTCCCCTTGGCCCCCAGCACCCAGGCCCGGGCCACAGGACCAGCCACACCCCACAGGAGACCCCACCCAGTAGACCACAAGGCTCTGAGGCAGCCCTAAGGCCTGAAACAGATTCTGAGCAGCCAGGAATCACTGTGGGTAAAGCTGGAACTACCACTCTAGGAAAGGCTGCATCCAAAACTGCCCCAAAGTCACCAAAAGAGCGGCTGCAGCATCTCTTCCAGCCCGGGGCTCTCCTGAGAGGACTGAGAGGGTTGTAGAGGGCAGTGCCAGCCCTGGCTTCCACATCCAGCCTCTGCTCCAGCACCCCAGCCAAAGCTGATGCTTCTAGAAAGTGTCTCTCAGGAGTTGGGAGCAGCCAGGGAATCAGGCATGAGTCCCACAACATTTACAGCCAACTGCAGGAGCACACTTACACTAAGGGAGTCTGCCTGAGTCCACCATGACCAGGACCCCACTGGTGGCTGCCTGCCACAGGGCCATTGCAAGGAGCTGCTGTGGGCCACAGGGCCCTTGATAAAGGTCAGGCTGGCAGCAGTCAACAGCCAGGGAGCCCAGGGGCATGCAAAAGGCCATCCACCAATGCCCAGACCAAAGCCCTCAGACCCTGGCCAAGGCAGCATCAAGAGCATGAAACGCAACAATTGAAGCCAAGCCACTACTTGCTCCAGACAAGGATCAATGGGGAAGGTCCTCTCTAGAGCCCTCGGCAGTGTCCCTCTCCATGCCCCTGCATCCCAGTCCCCTTGCCCAGCCTTGATTCTCCCTTCTGTATGTCCCTGCATCCAAGTTCCCTGCCCTCTTCACATAAGGATCACCAGGCATGGTCTTCCGTCAAGCCCCATACCTATCTCTCCCCACCCCATGTCCCTGCATCCTAGCCCCCTGTCCAGCAGTGCCTCCTCGCCCAACAAGACTGTGTCCCTTGCAGTCAGGGTTGTGCTGGGTGCCTCAGAGACAAGCCCACTGACCTGCTCACAGCCACTCCAACCCCACCCAAGAAGCCTGCTCCCCGAGTGTCTGGAGCTTATACGTGGGAGTCACTCACCCACCATCCTCCCTGAATGAGGAGGCCTTAGGCCTGAGTTGCATGGACCAGCATCAGTCCCAAGTGGGAACAGCAGGCCCGAGGGCAGCCCAGGCCTCAGCCTCAGACTCAGTGGCCCCCAGCTGCCTGCGGTCCTGGAGACCTGGGTCCCTGCCAGACCAAAGCTCCAGGGCACGGCCTGGAGACTCCAGTGCAGATGGGCCCTAGTCTTCAGGGGCACCGCTTCTGGTTTCTCCTCCCCACATGCCCAGGACAGGAAGGAGCTAGAGAACAGCGTCTAATGTGGCTCTCCCAACTTGCAGACCCTTTCCTTCCTTCCTTCCTTCTGTGGGATAACGGCTGGAGCACTCCTGCTGAGCCACTCCACGTGACTGCAGCCTCTGAATGCCTAGAGCAGGGCCAGCACTGACACAGGTGGAATTTGTGCTGGCCTGAGGCACTGTGGGTACTGGTAGTAGTAGTAATTACCCACGGTGCCTCAGGCCACACATTAAACTCCCCCCCCCCGCAGGGTCCTGCAGCTCCAAAAGACCCAACTCAGACAGCATTCTGGGGCCGTCCCTCCATAGGACTGTCAGAGGCATGAGTGCCTTTGTGTCCACTGCAGGTCGCACAGAGATGAAGGGCTAAGTGGAAATGTTGTGCCGGATTTTTGAAATCCCTAGATAATCATCAAGTCTGAATTCGGTGCTAAGGCATAAAGGTGGTTTATTCAGGTTAGCCTAGGTATCCCAGCCACCTCCCCCAGCTGGGCTGGGAGAGGGGCAGCCTCAGCCGAGGCTGCTAGGATCTGCAGGGAGGACAAAAAGAAGCGCAAGCCGAAGAGGAAGAGAGAGCGAGAGCCCAAGCCCCCCAGTTCTTATACATTTCAGGCTATTAATTATACAGTCATGATTTAGCAGGCTTCTATTGGTGGGTTTGAAGCAAGCAACTTTCAAAAAGTACAAATTGATGAGCTGTTGGGCTGTGAATCTTATCAAACACCAGGTACTGTAAGGCCGCGCGAAGTGAGGACAGCCTTACCGACTCTTGAGAAAGTGAGTCTCCCCAATGATCAACAAAGACGAGGCTTGATGCAAAAGCAGGAGGATTTATTCAGATGCCAGCGCGCTGGGACGGAGGCCAGTTCCTCACGCAG